TTTTGCATGATATTCTAATTTTTTGAGTTTCACCTGTAGACCTTGATGATGTTGCCATTGCACGTAATTGACTGAGAATCTGAATGGTTTTCAGGGACTAGGAATGTAGCACGCTGTCTGGATCGGAGAATTCATCCAGGGAGATCCTGTGTTTAGCAGGGAATTACACATCAAGTGATGAAGAATTAGAGCAACTACTGTGGGCAAATGCATCTCCCGGATAGGAAAAGGAAAAGGCAAATCCACAGAAGTACCCCAGGACAGGTCCTGAGGGAAGAGTCACCCAGCACAGGGGCAAAAGTTGGCTTTTTAAAAGTTTGGAAATTCAAAATGCGGTTTAGCCAAATGACCGAATGAAGATATGAACAAGCAAACAAATGTGGGTCTAGTTATGAACTTCATTTTGTTGGTTTCTGCCTCTTACTGGCATTAGAGTGAGCTGTATAAATGCGGAGATGTCGAATACTTTTTGTATGCAAAATAGACCATTATTTATAGATCAAGATTTCTCAGTTCTCCTGTGAAAAACAGGAAACCTCATTGCATATTTCCACTTAACATGCAATGCATAACTGAGAGACCAATCAGGTCTTAGCCTGTGTAGACTAGAAGCCAGGAGACAAACAAATTTCCATCCTCTTTCCTTGAATCGCTGGGGAATTATTTTCAGGCCCAGGTTGTTGCGCTCTGCCGCTACGCAACGGGGCCCTGGAGAGGGCTTGAGAGGCAGCTGGGCCCTCTGGGTGGTGTCAGTTCACAGTGTTAAAGGGGAAGAGGGAAAAGGATGGGCCCTTCAGCAAAGGGAAGGCTTTTGCCGTGGAACTCCCGCAAGCCCTCCTGGTTAAACCCAGAGACACCGGTCAACGTGTGGGTAGCCTTTTAGGGAAGTCTTCCAATATCTGCCAGTCAACCGTGCGTAAGGGGAACAAATTAAACTGCCATGTCCCAAGAGCTGTTGATGGCCAAGGCCAACAGGGAAGGCCAACAAAGGCATGGGGCCTTCCAGCTAAGTGGGCCGGGTGCTCTCAGTGCTTCAATCTTTCCCAGCAGGAGAGCCACCTTCTCCACAGAGCTGGGTCTTCCCAGAAATAGGATAATTTGAGCCTAGAGAGAGGATTCTGGGTCCATTTGTTTGATGATCCATCGGTTGGTTTTCATGGCTGTCCATGTTCTTCTTGGGAGTTTTCTCCAACAAGATAGATAGGCCAACTTCTTACAGTTGGTTCACTACTGTGTTATGTTCCAGATTTATGGCATCGTTTGGATAGAACGTTTACCAGTGCTTTTTTATTGATTGGCTTATTCTGGTTTGTATTTTAAATTTTATGTTGCTTGCCATATTCCCATAGCTATTTCAGTGATTTTTCCAGCCTTCTTGATAATGAGGACGTAAATCTACCTTCATGTTCTAGTGCCAGGGGTTTTTATAATTACTAAATATTTTTTAAGATACCTTGGAAGCAGACATCTTTACATAGGCGTTTTCAGCTTACTCCTATCTCTGATCTTGAAATTAGTTCCGTCCATCTCTTCATCACACCAAATTGAAATTAGAACCTTCTGAGTGGAAAACTTCTGGAAGACTTCCCTTGCTTTTTTTGTTTGTTCTCAAGGTTGGTGTCTTTATAGCTGTTGCTATAATTCTCCACTTAACCCTTCACTGCAACTCATAGGTGCTTTGGAAGATCATCAGGAACATCTTGAGTACGATCCAATCCAATCATTATGTTGCATTATATTGTCAGTCACTTTATATTGTCCAGCCAAGGGACTTTCTTGATCAACAACAAACTGCTCTGCTGAGCCATCACTTAGGAGTAAACTTTCTTATTTATTAAATTTATATGTTGCCCATCTCAGTATCCAGAGCGAGTTTGGGCAGCTTACAGCAAGTGGATTTAACACTGAGATGATTGTTTAGATAGCTAATCAGGCAGGTAGAATGGCCAGCTGAGCAAGGGGTCCATTGTAAGGGGCAATGCAGGACCAGCAGCCAGAGAGAGACCCAGGTCGTTCTAGAGCTGGGCAGGTGGGCAAGGGGTTCTGGGGGAACGGGCTGGTGGTGAAACTGCACTCTCTCTTCTTCTCCCCCCCCCCCCCCAATAGAAACTGCCAGCTCAGGTAGGGAAGCTCCCCGCGAGATGTCGAGAACAATCCTTCGCTCTGCTTGGAAGCCTTTCGCAGCAACGTGTTACTTAAAAGAAATGGTCAATCTGTTTGCAGGTGACGGCCCTGATCCTGTTTGCCCTCGTGTTCCTTACCTGCGTTGGGTTTCTGGTGGTCTACAAGGCCTATAAGTACGACCAAGCTTGCCCAGAAGGTTTCATCTTCAAGGTAAGGAAGGTGGCTGAAAGCCACAGGGGTGCTTAGTCGGCGGGGTCAATCGTGCAAGAAGGGCAAAGATGTTAGAGTGCAGGTGGGAGCCTTGGATGTGTGTGGAGGCAGAGAGATGGGGGAGAAAGAGCCAAGCATGAATACTCCTTCCTGGGATCAATATTTTCTGTGCTGTAACAACTCATTTGGGCCCTTGGCAATCCTCCCTTCTGTTGGAACCCTTGATCAGGGCAGTCTGGAAAAACGTGGCTCCTTGGGGAACAGCCACTTTGGGCCGGCCCTTCAGGCCAATAGCCTTTGATTCTCAGCCTCTGGGTCCACGTCCAGCTTAGATCCCACGGATGGAGGCACTTCCCAGGCGAAGCTGGGCCAGACCTGCCAGGCGCTTCCTCAGAGCAGAGAAGCAGGCTCTCTTCTATCCCTCAGAGGAACAGAAAGGCGGTCGGGGGGAGGGAGATCAAAGGCCCCGCAAATGGCAGTCCCTAGAAACAAGGGCCACAGGACAAGAAAAGGCTCCTTTGGGCAAGGGCGCTCTGTGAATCTTGGAAGCAGGAGAATCGAGAGAGAGAGAAACCACTGAGGTGCCCTGGAGGAAGGAAGGTTAAAGGCTGGGGAGCAGACACCAATGCAAAGGGGGACACAGCTGCTGGGCCCGAGAAGCTGCCCAGGCCTTGTCTTTCTCAGCTACTTTGGGAGACACACACACACACACATACACAGAGTGCCACCTTGCTTTCTCTCTGGTTTTCAGGGGTGTGTGTGTGATCTGTGTCTTTCAGAACAATCAATGCATTCCGGCTGGATTAGAGAGCTACTATTCTGAACAAGACTCTAGCGCTCGAGGAAAGTTCTACACGGTGATCAACCACTACAACCTGGCCAAGCAGACCATCACTCGGTCAGTTTCTCCATGGATGACGGTGCTTTCGGAAGAGAAACTTTCTGAGCAGGAGACTGAGGCAGCTGAGAAACCTGTTTAGGAGGATGAGTCTGATGAAGAAGGGCCCAAAGGCGGTTTTCATGGTTTTCATTGTTAGGTTCACTTAGAGATTGCTCATAATTTATGGTGTAATTGCTTTGGTTGCTGACAACTGCTTTGCAAAACGGAGCAACGAAAAAGAACGTGGGCCATGAATGGCCCGGGGCACATTGGCATTGCTTTAGAGCTCTAACACCAATTTCTCTTTCAGTGGCATTGAACTTAGGCACATTCTTGTAATTTAGACATCTGACAGAGACATTCAGGCAGGGCTTGTTGGTGTGGGATAACGTGCTTCTTACTGTGTGTCCTCGTGTTTTGTTTCCCTTTAAATCAGCTGTGAAATCTTTCATGGGGGATGGCTTGCAGTTCCAAAATGAAGACCAAGAAATAAAAGCGGCCTGAGTTTGCTCACTACATCCATTACCTTTAGGCTTAATTGCTTCTGTTATAGCATGAACTTCACTGTTTTCACTACATGAAAGAATCTTGTGCAAACAAAATAGAAATTAGACATTGAAGAGCTATACAGCTTTAATGACAGATTAGGAGTTTTAAATAAAGGGCAGGAATATAAAGGAGAAAATATTCTGAGGGGTAGTGGTGACTTAAGGAGATTAAACAAGACGGAAACTCTTTAAATGACACAATACAATCTCTGTCACTAGAAAGGACATATTTTACTAGAATGGCCTCTTTTGGAAACCTTAACATTGTAAAATTCCCTTTGTTGGCAGCGTTCTTTGACCTTCCCTATTCCTTCCCTGTCAGGCTGAGGTGAAGAGACATCGGTTCCCTTATGTTCAGTGGGATATTGATGTCAAGTCAGCTAAGGAATAAAATGCCAGCCAGACGATTCTGAGGTTGAAAAGGCACATGGATGGATGGATGGACGGACGGGGAGGGAGGGAGGACAAGGCTGCTTTCTGGACATAAACTAAGCACTCACAAGGCCAGGTACGCACTTACTATGTTTGACAGACTCCTAAATTAAGAACATTGCAATGTTCAAATGCTCTTCCACAGTCACCATCAATACCTTTCCAGAGAGTTTGGGAAGGCCGCTTGAGCCCCTGCAGCATAAGTGGCAGCCCAAATCTAACCTTCTCCACCGCTAAGCTCTGTGGGGATAGGACAGTGGCACATTTTAATCTCAATCTTTCCTAGGATGGGGGATGGTTGGAAAAACACCGCCCTGCACTAGGAAGACTCTCTGCCCTCTGCTGTTGGCTTGTCTGCTGTTCTGAATTACATGTTGTAGCTCACAACTCTTGTCATTTTTGTTCTTCTGAATGTGTTCTTTCCCAGTGGAATGTCAAAAGTTTCATTCATTTTACCGAAACATACTTTTAAATCATCAACATGTCTTTCTCTCCCCCCCCCCCCCTTATAAGACAAACATGGTTCTAGGTTATATTTCCTTCCAGAATTTTTTTTGCATCAATATACTTGGAAAATGTCGTTTACAGTTTTGTTGGAAATTTTAATATTAAATATACTTACATATTGTACAATTTTTGTATGTAATTGCTGCTGCTTGGAATACATAAAAAGCAATAACTTATGTGCCAAAACTTTCGTTTGCATCAAGGAGTTCTCTCTTGTACACACAACACCATGTTTGTATTCCCTAGTAGTAACTTTTGACATTTTCACTCTATGTAAAATAAAATCGTATGCTCGAGTCTCAAACTCCATATGTTTAAATAGATGTTTGCAGCAGTAGAGAGGAAAAGAAATTCTGGTCACCCTGCTTGCAACAGAAACTGCTTCTATAACCTTTCTAAAAACGATTATTTGCATGACTAAGTCTGAGCAATCACCATTTGCTGTAAACTGAAATGGATCATTCAAGAAGACCTCCTTCCTCTCTTTTTTTTGGGGGGGGGGGGGGGGGGGGGGCTTCCACAGACCCATGTCTCAGAGCTGGAAAGGCCAATTGGGGCTTTGAAAGGGAAGACAAAATGAGGGAAGGGAGTTGGGACACAAGAGTTTCTGGCAAGAGCCAAGCAGCAGTCCGTGTTCTGAGCTGAAGCTCCTCTCCATAAAGGGGACTTTTTCGGGCAGGGGGTGGGGGGGCTCCCCCGACTTCAGCCAGCAGGGAAGGCCAATGGCATGCTGGAAAACACGGCCTCAGCCCTGAAGGGGAAGCGGCTGCTCGGCATTTCATCCCATATAAATGTTTGGCAACTCCCTGCTGTAACCATGTACCTGTCAACACTTTTACTGAGCATTTCCTGGCAGCCGTCTGCTGCCTAAAGCTCCCCATGAGTTCTGAGACACCCACATTTCTACAGCCATGATGCATGAAATGCAGTGTCACCTGGCGAGGTGGTTCCGCAGGGGTTTATTGGCCAGGATCAGCTTCCGTACCAGTCCAGAAACAACAGAGAGAAGGAGCACATGACCAGGAAGAAAAGGATCCACACTCGAAATCCAGCATTATTCTTGATCGCCTATGGAGAACAAAGACATCCTTTTAAAAGACATACGTTGCAGTGGGCAATTCAGGAATGGTGCAAAAATGTTTTTTTAAGCTTATGCCTCGAACAAAGTTTTTGTCTTCAGATCTTTTGTTCCACATGGCAGCCTCTTAAGAGCAGAATACAGAGAAAAGGCCCATCAAATTAAGACTGACGTGTTCATGAAGCTTTTTAATGTATGCCCTCACCCCCGTTTTGTTTTGTGTTGTTTTATTTTATGCCTCTTGTTTATCTGAAGAGCTGAAGTAAGAGCAGAGAAGTAGCATTTTAGCAGTTGTCCATCCGTCCTTGCTTGCAAAGTGTGCAGGATGCTTTGAGCAAGGAATGGTGCTCAAGGGGCCAGGGTCTCAGCCTCAGCATTCAGGGGGTGGGGGACTATACCCCAAAGCACAGCTGATTGAAGGTGGTGGAGCGCTCCCCTCTACCCCCATCCCCACCCCCAGACGCCATCCTGGACCCCACAGCATCGGAGAGCTTTTGTGCAGCCTCTGATCTTTCCTTCTTAAGGAAAGGGGGCCCTCAGCTGCAAATACTGCCCACAGTTGATTTTGGATAGGGTGACAGCCCTTCCACCTACTGAACTGCCCAGAGTTTTATAAGATGGGTCGCTCTATAACTCCTAAACGAACAAATGGATGACCGTCTTCACATCCCACAGAACAAGTGTAACCAGAATGCAAAAGAGCCAGGCCACTGGAGTACAACTTGCCACGGCCCGGTCAAGAATAATAAAGACCAAGAAAGCCTTGGCCAAGATTACCTCTCTTATGTCTTCGTTGCCTTCCTTGATGTTCTCTGTTGCACCCACAACTATCTGGTGGATATTATCGATTTCAGCTTCCTAGAAATTAAGTTAACACATATTTGGTGACTCTGCAAAAGGCAGCAGCTAGGTGAAAAAGGTAAATATGACTTTTGAGATGGACAGGAGTTGGATGAGAGACCACAAGGAAATCTCAAGGATATAGGCTACACTGGGAATTGGAAGAATTATCTGGGAACTCAGCAGCGTCTTCATAGCCCCAGTGCACTTCTTCATCCCCCATAATGTTATCCCCTGGAGTATATTTCTGCAGCAAATGTGTGTTACACAAACTCTTTTGGTAACTGTCCTCACAGTCCCCGCTCCATTCATTCATTTGTACTTTGCTCCATCATCATAGATACTTTGTCTCTATCCTACGGGGTGCCATGAATTTTTGTACAGAGCTCAAAATGCTTTAGTGAAAAAGTCAAATATGAGATTCTTCTTACCTGTTGTAATACTTTTTCTGTAAATATTTCTTGAAGTCTAGATATTTCAACTACTTTCCCTTCAATCTGCCTAAAAATGATCAAAATATAACAATGGAAAGCCAAAAGACTTTGTTATATATAAAACAGTTAAGAATAAACATTTCCCGCTTTTACAGAATGAAGTAAATAGAATATCCTACATTCCTAAGATAATGAAGCCTTATTGGACGAAGCAGATTTTCAATAATTGCTTAATACAAAGCAGATCAGTTGTTCATAGCAACATTGGAAAAACACAATTTATATGATTAGGTGTAGATTCTAGGTGTGTAAAAATGCAGACTTCTAGATAGAAAAATTGGACACGTATTATCTGTGCAACATAAAATAGCATTAGCCAGAGATGGTTCCTGTTGGGAGTTGGGAATTCTAATAAGGCTGCAAAAAACCTGGGCTGAACCAGAGCACAGAATTCGTAGGAAGCACCAGCCCTGCTGAGAGGCCGATCTACAAACGCACCGCTGGGATGAGCACCAATCCCCACCCTGCTGCCCACGTGATCTCACCTCAAGCAGGTGATGTGGGCCGAAAACCTTGATCAAAATGTGAAAAAGAGCAAATGGAAGGGGGAAAAAATTGTACCTCACTTCATCAAACAGGCTGTTCATTTCACCCACAAGGCGTTGGTTTTCCTGTTCAAACTGGAGGGGGGGGAGAGAAAGGCAAAGATTATTGCAATTTAAAGCTTTGTTCCAATGGACCCTCTATGTGAGAAAGTTAGTTTCAACGAAACTCTCTTTCCAGGAATTCAGTTTTTCTTAGGCTGTTATTATCCCTGCTGGTATCACACAAGGAAGGTCCCGGAGAAGACATGACGATCTACGAATCATTGAAGACAGATCTGAATTCAGGGCTCTCCTCTCCAACATTCTTCAGTCTGTTTGCCTTCTAAGATTAAAAATATGCATCCTATTCCCGGCAATTTCTGAGCAAGTATTCTTTAACTGACTTATTTTGGGGGTGGGGGGAGGAATGAGAATTATTTCTGTACTCAAGTAAAAATACTTCTAATGCAGCAGAGATATCTCTGAAAAGATTTGCAAAACAGTTATGTGGTTTACAGGCTAGACAAACAGAAGTCCATCTAATTAAAGAAGTAAAGCCTATTCACATCTATACAAACTATACCTAAAAAGCCCATCAGGATGTCTCCAAATTTCTATTGAGAAAATTTGACTACAATTCTAGAGACTTGCTGATGCCAGCCATTCAGGAGGGGGCTGCCCAGTGTGTAAGCAGAGGGCAGGCTGACCGATGGGCGAGAGGCCTCGGGAAGCTCCATTCAGGAGATGAAGATGCTCCCTCTCAAAATCAAAGGGGGATTTTCAGCCCCTGAGGGACAGGCACTTGCGCAGGGCTCACCCACCTGAGGCAGCCCCCTGGGCCCCTTACCTGCCTGCTTGGCTCTTCCAGGCCCAGATAGGGGTGGCTGAAAAGAGCTGCCTGCTGAGGGATGTCAGCTCCCCTCTGTGTGGGGAAGGGAGCTCCTTTAGCAGGGTGCAGAAACGAAGCTTAACTCCTCAGGATTTAAGCATCATATCTCTGCCTACCATGGGAGGATCGCAGCTCCTGTGCGGGAAGGGAGCTCACATGTCAGGATCAGAGCTCCTTTTCTCCACCCTTCTTGGCAGGTGGCATCTGCTTGTACCTTCCCTACCAGCCTCCCTACTGAGACTTTCTCTTCCTCATGTGTTGTGGGTCAACACCCCCACTGCCACTTTGCTCAGCCTGCCCTTCCCTCCTCCAGTCCCCCCCCTTCCTCTTCACAAGGCTTCCCTTGCATCAGGTCCCCTCTGGGCCACCTGTTTTCCTTCTCTTCCTGCCCATGTTCCCTGCCAACTTTCCTAGACTAACTTCCACTCTATCTGCCCCATTTGCTTAGACTAGTTGCCACTCTTCTGAATGAGTCCTAGGCTGGGGGGGGGGGGGGAACCACCCCCACCGGCCCCGTCCCCTCCCCCTTGTTTGACCCTTTGAGCTCCTCCATGAGGCCAGCAGGGCCCCAATCCACACACACTGGGCAGCCACCAACTCTGAGGGGACAATCTGCAGCCCATCAACAGTCCTCAATCTCTCTCCCTCTTCTGGGTTGTCCCCTTTTGCCTCCTCCAGCCCGCCTTGGCTCCTCCGCTCAGCTTCCTCTAGTACTTTCCTATCAAAATGCTATGCTGAGTAGCCCAAGATAAGGAGGCGGCAGAGAGAGGGAGAGAGAGAGAGAGCATTCCATGCACTGACCCACATGGTCTCCCAGGCCACTTGGCCAGGGCCTCTCCCTGCCTGACAAGGTGGCTGTTTGAGGAAGTCTTTGCAACGGTTTCCCTGGCAGATGCTTCCTGCTCAAGGTGAAAAGATGAATTACCATTTGGATTTCTTCAGGAGAAAGCTCATCGTCTCCTCTGCTGTCTTGACCAAGACCAAAATCAGCATGCTCATCAACCAGGTTCCTCTCTGCGAAAGAATCCAAACAAAACTATCATCAGCATGAAGGCAGCCCCAACTTGCGGGGCCAACTCAATCTGAAGGGAAGCAGAAAGCCACACAACTCTGCTTCTTTTAAGCTTCCAGTTCTTTCCTGGAACATAGGAATCTCAGATGGGCAACCGTTCTCTGGGGCTTGGTGGATGTCTCGTCCCTCCTGTCCTGGCTAGAGGAGTCAGTCCTTATTCTGTCCTTTGATTCACTTGCTGAATATAACTCTACGAATTCTTCCATGCAGAGTTTCTTTTTATTGGATTATATTAGGTATCCTCAAGGTAACTCACAGTTATGTTGAGATGCATCTAATGTCCAATTCTTTGCATAGTTGAAATTGTAGTATAAAATGATAGTAATCTTTCTATCCCATATTTCATCCCATAGTAGTAGAAGCAGGGGTAGAGATGCTAGCACGAGGCTGGGTTCAGGCAAGAGTGAAGAAACCTTCCCCAACCCACCAAGGGTCAATTCAGTGACCAATCAGGGTTACAGATGTGGCCACATGACATGAACGACATTTCCCAGGATACCTTAACTACATTTACCATGATGCATTACCTTAAGGGGACAGCTCCCAATTCCTTACAAACTATCCAATTCCCATTAACTATAACTGGCTGGACAGCACACTCCCCGCTTGGAATTATAAATTCCACTAATTAAAGACCAAGTAACCGTATAACTAAGATAAACAGGACACGTTAATAAAGCATCAAACAAAGCAAAGCATGCAAAGCTTGAGGTTCAATCTTCAAGTTCAGCCTTTGTCTTCAGCAACCCTAGGTCGGTGACCAGTCTGGTATAGAGAGACTTGGTGAAAGTTTGCTGGTCGCTTCTGGTGGCCGTTTAGGGTGGACAGGTAATCTTGCTTCCAACGGTTCTAAGGGGCTTTGACAAACCGTTGAAATGGATGTTGTGAAGACATCTGCTCGTGTAGAGCGTCTTAGTGAAAATCTGGTGGTCGCTGGCGGCCGTTTAGGGTTTCTTAGTGAAAGTCTACTGGTCGCCGGCGGTCGTTTAGGGTGGACCGGTATTGTTTCCGATGGTGCCAAAGGGCGTCGGAAGGCTGTCAGAATGGATGGTGCAAAGGCATCTGCCTGTGCTGGGGTCTGCATCCGATCAACACAGACTATTCCTGAGATTCTCCAATCCAGCTCAGTCCTGAATGCAAAAGGGGTACCTCTCGGACCTCTGACTACTTCATTGTAAGCTAAAGAGTTGGGGGCATCTACTTCCTAACAAGAGCAAAATCTTGGCTTCAGGATCTAAAGCGGGAATGTGACAGGCCACGTGCTGCAGGTGAGGTATGCTGCTTGCTACCTCTGGCGTTGCAATCTTGCTGTGGTTGTCTGGTATCCCATTCCATTCTAACACAGGCGGCAGTGGGAATCGGGAACTCCCATCTAATGACTCTATGCAGAGTCCAGTAGCTCTCCTCCCCGCCCTGCTTCATGGTGTGGTGCACGTTGAGATCATGAAGTGCACCTCTTCCTTCTGAACATCAAAGAGGTCGGAGAATGCAGACCTGGCCAGTGAGCAATCACTCTGAGGACCCAGTATTACATACATCTTCACTGCCTTTTCTGGGCGTCCCTTGGCGTAGACTTTGGCTAAGCAGATCTGACGACACGAGCGAGGGGCTGGTGTGTTATCTCACACCGCCATGCAATTGACACTCACCACAAGCTCTGGGTGTGCTTCTGTAGCACATTGAGGCTCCTTAGCCGGAAGAGGGTGATGTGTTGTCTCGGAGTCTGGATGCAGATTGTCTGGGTGCTTGTTGCTGTTGCATAGATGACATTGCACCTTGACTGTGCAGTCTTTGGGCTTGTGCTTAGATTTACAACATTTGTAGCAGAATCTGAACTCCCGTAACAAAGCCTTTCTTTGGTGCAGAGGTTTCCGTGCAAACACTTGGCACCTGTTCAGTGAGTATTGAGTGTTGTGCAAAGGACAAAGCTCAATTCTCTTTGTAGTTGGAGATCTAGATTGGGTTGTGTCTGATGAGTGCTCTCCCAAACTCTTTATGGAGGAGGTTGCGACCTCTGTGTCATGTGTTGTTGCACGGTTACGATTTGCAGTATATTCCTGAGAGATGTAGAGTTTCAGTTGTGCTCTTTGTTAGTTGGGAGGAATCTGCATCTGAGGCGGAGGTTTCCAAAGCTGTTGCAGGACTCTGTTTGCCGGACAACAAATTCTTGGAAAAGGGCAAAAGGTGGTTCTCTTTTGCGGTTTGCGGCCAGAAAGGCATCAGACAAAACAATCCATTGTTCCAATATTTCTTTTGGGAGTTTGGCAATGATTTCTTCTTGTGTTATGAAGAGATCAAGGCAAGCCAGTCCTGGTAAGTCAGAACATTCCTTGGCTGTTCGCAGCTCCGTAAGGATGTTGGAAAATTCCTCCAGTCTTTGGGTTTCGTGGATGGCAATACATGGGAAACGGTCAAGTCATTCTAGGAGCGAGTATTCCATCAAATTTTCGGTCCAAAGCATTCCAAGCTCATTTTAGAGTGGTCCCTGGGTCTTTGAATATGCCTGTGTAAATGTGTTTCACCATGTAACTAGACCATGGTCCGAGCCATGCTAACAGAAATTTAAGTTCTTCTCCGGGAAGCAGCCGTTTGGGTAGAATGGTACTTGTGAAAATGTTCTTCCAACAGTAGGTATTCTCTGCCTGGCTTGTTGTTGAATTTGTACACACCGCTAGCTGCTAAGTCCAACCTTCCCCAACTTAGTGACGGTTCTCTGTTACCTTCTCTGTAAGGCCAGGTCATCTCTTGGTATGACGCCCTCGTAGGCATAGCGTTGTGGCTTGAGGGCATGTGTTGTGAACGGTACGTGGTTCTCCTCAGAGTACTTTATGAGGAGGTCGTTATCCAGCCCCACATACGCAGGTAGAACATCTTGAAGTCAGGGGTAGGTTCCACGCTGTGCATTAGAGTTGTCTTGCAGTTGTGGGAAGAACTCTTTTGCCTGTGGGTTGAGTGTGGCAATTGTGGTTGGTTGCATGTCTAGTTTGTTGAGAAGCCGCTGTGATCACAGGTGGGCTAAGCTGCTTGCCCAGCAGGCCGTGAGACATTGGGGTGGGTTTGCTGATTCTGGGAAGAGAATCTCGGACTTTAGGTCGTACAACATCAGTTGGGGAAGGTTTGCTGTTGGTGGGAAGTGACTCTCGTATTTTAGGTCTTACAATGTCAGTTGCGTGACTGACGTTTAGAGTCTGTGGTTGAGATTCACCCCCATGCTTCCCTGGTTGTGGGAGAGTGCTAACTGTGCTGGTTCCACCAACTCGTTTCGTAGCGAGTGCTGCTCATCCACATAGGCTTTGACCCGTGTTTCTGGGCTATCTGCTCCCAAGTCGTTGAGGTTGAAGTTGAGGGAGGCGGCGTTGGCCGCCTTCTACAATGCTGCAGCCCGTGCTGTTTTTGCTGCAGTGTCTCTTTGTCATTTGAGCAACTCCACTTGGGCCTGAGCTTTGGCCATTTCTGCTTTCTGCCATGTCACCTCCATCATTATATGTAAATCTGCCTCTGGTACCACAGCTTCAATCTGAGCTCCTACAGCTTGGTCAGCGTAACTTGCTGCTTTAGAGGCCTTAGATGCGCCGCTGCAACGGGAGGATGCTCAGGAAGGATGGTGAGACCCAGCAGCAGAGAATTGGTGTGAAACACTGGAACCTGCTTGCAATCTAGCCGGTTTGGGATGGAGGGAGGAGGCTTTCCGAGAATAGTGAGAGGATGATCGGGAATGTGATCGGGTGGCTATGTTGGATGTGTCCCTCTCCCCTGACATTTCTTCCAGCTTTAGAGCTTTGTTGATCGCAGCTTGGAGGGCATTTTTGCCTTCCCTAACGCATTCTTCGCATTCCTTGTGTACTTCCTCGAAGCATTGAACGTGTTCTTTGAGGTTTGGGTTACCCAGCCTCAACTGGATGGTCTTGAGTTGACTTTTGCTGTCTCTCCACTTTGGGAGAAGGTCCTGTAGGTCTTCCTGCAATGTGTGGAGTCTCCCAAGGGACAGCCTGCGTTTGGGAGTTTCCAGTTCTGTCCATGATTCTACATAATGACAATACTGTTTGTCCCACTTCTCTCTCAATAAGGAGCCCATGGGTGCAGTAGGCTTCGTATGTTGTCTGAGGTCGTAGGCTTTCTGAGGTATCGTTGCTTCTTTGGGGATTGAGACATCCGAAACTGGGTTTTGGGAACCAGGCTCCACGTTTACTTCAAGGGTAGGTGGAGGGTTCGAGTCCTCTTGTACATCAGAGACATCTGGCATAGCCGAAGAAGTTGCCATGCTTCAAATTGCTAGCACGAGGCTGGGTTCAGGCAAGAGTGAAGAAACCTCCCCCAACCCACCAAGGGTAACAATTCAGTGACCAATCAGGGTTACAGATGTGGCCACATGACATGAACTACATTTCCCAGGATACCTTAACTACATTTACCATGATGCATTCCCTTAAGGGGAGAGCTCCCAATTCCTTACAAACTATCCAATTCCCATTAACTGGCTGGACACCACAGTCCTGTCTATTCATGCCCAAAGACCTAGCACATCCAGCCAGCGGCTGGTGGTGTTGAGCCCAGGGTGGCTCAGGAGTTGGTGGCCTCAACCATGGCAAGCAGGGATCTACCCCACCCCATTGCACATGGGGTCGGTCTGCCTTTGGTGTCAGGGCAACTCTGCCACGATGTGGCAAGGGAGGCTCATCATCCACTGCCACAACCTCATTGCCACATACGGATCACTCTCTGGATCGCAGCCTTCTTGGTTGGCTGGTGCCATCCTCCCCATGGAAGGGCTGAAGGATCCCCTGGAAGAGCTGGGGGGGTTTTCTGCAGGGTCTGGTGGGCAGTTTGGCTAAGCCCACAGTCACTGTGTGGGATGGGATGGGGAGTGTATTGTCAGCGCCATATGAGCTCCCCCTGTGTGCTGTTCCCAGAGCGCAGTTTACGGAAGAGTTCCAGAACATGAAGCACCCCAAGCGATGGAAGACGTAAGAGCAAATCTGAGCAAACATGGCCCATAGTCTGGATCACCTACGGCAACAAGGATGGCAAAATGTACTCATCTGCCCTGTTGTGTTTGTCAATAGCTACCCAACAGCCCATTTTGGAGGGACCTGATCCTTGTTAGGCAGTGACAGGTCGCTGGATCGTCCGCGAGGTTGCGGCAAGGCATATTCTGGCTATCTGGCTGACAAAGTTGCTCAGATCTGCACCAAGTTGGACTCCAACTGGTCAAGTCTGCTTGAGGTGTCAGAGGCCCAGTGAAGTGGGGTGTGATGACTTCAGCCTAGAGAAGTAAAATTTGAGTCTGAAGATGGAGAGGTGAAAATGTCTCAGAAAGGACTCTCCCTATTTTCAGGCAAGTAAAAGTGAGGAGTGGGAGGGGTATTCTCAGATCTCGCAGAGTGTCATGTAGGTAGTCTGAGGTAGTCCAGGCAAGAAAGGCAGCCAGGAATACAACTGCTTATCTTCAACAGAATTCTGTAGCTTGAATGTGGTTCTGGATATTGGCCTCCTTTCCCCTCCAGATCTATTTTAAAACGCTCCAGATGACCTCAGCAAAACACCTTCCAAATCCCCTCTTCCCAGTCTATCTCTCACCAGGAACCTCCCTGTAGATGCTCTGTGGAGTCTCAACAAGACTCTCTCGAATCAGCAGTTCGGCTCCAAAATCCTTCATTCCTTCTGTGGCCTTGACCTTCAGCTGGAGGTATAGACCACATCCATGCCCAATTCTTCCGCCTTCCTCCCTAGCAACTTAGAATCCTTCTCATAGTCTTTTCCAGCCTCTTTTGAGAAGGTCACTAGTTCTGACACGAAATCGAAGAAAAGGATGGTGATGATCAGCACATTAAGTGGTAAAAACTTCTGATTTTACAAACTATGGCCAAACAGCCAGGATCTTTGTACTTGGTAGGTAACAGACTTCTGTTGTTCTTGGGTCTAGTTTGTGGAGGGCTGATGCTGCTCCTCTCACTCCTGAGTTCCCCCCCTTCCCCCCCCCCGCCCCCCCCCCCCCCCCCCCGTGAGCATCCTTTTTGGCAGAGCAATTGGATTTCTCCCCTGAGAGGAAGCCCAAGCTTCTCTTCTTTCCATCCTTGGGACCCTGGGTGAAATCTCTTCTCCAGAAGATGGAGGGCCGCGTTGCCCTCCAGGGGAAACACACCCGAGACACACTGGGCTGTGGCTTTTTCTTCTCCTGGCCCTGCCAAGGGATGCTCCTCTTTGCCATCTACGGAAACCTCTCCCCTCCCTGAGCGAGTTCCAGTAGAAGTCGCAGAGCCAGAAGTCCGCAACTGCTGGAGCAGAAACCCTCCTCCAGCAGGGAGGAAAACAGGCCCCACTGACTGGAAGGCTCCACAATGAGAGAGCCAGAATTGGTACTGGGCCTCTTCTGAAACCCATGAAATGTACCATTTCGCTTTCAGGAAACAAACACACTGTAAATGTGTCATAATGATAAATAACTGAAAACTATTTTTCCTGAGTTAATAAAGAGGAAATTACCCAACCGGAAGCCGTATGAGCCTCAACATTATACAACATTTAAAGCATGGATGTTGTGATTTTACAGGCAGGAAGGGATTACCACCTCGGTTGCCTTCCCTGGTGAGTTTTTCTTCCAATTCTTCTGGAGGAGCCTCCACCTCTGTCTCGGGCACTCTTCCTGGAGACTTACTGCTTTGCTCAGGTTCAAGCCTGGATCTAAAGGAACAAAACACGAGAGGTAAACCAAAGGCTGCTCTCCTCCTTTCCACCCACCAGCCTGGAAAGCCTGCCTGCCTGCCTGCCTTTCTGATAAAAGAAACCTTTCCTAACGAGCCAAGTCATTGACAGCTGTTTAAAGGCTGGTTTGGGCGGAATCATTCCTGGCAACCCTGTCTGGACCCAGTCAGGGCAGGTCAGGTTTGGGACTGGGGGCTACCTGGGAACACCAGACTGAGAAGCTGAAATACATCTTGGAAGAAGGCAGGAGGACACCTCTCAGGCCCTGCTGCCAATAAACCGAGAAGAAGACCTCATCCCTTTGGTCCCCAGGGGCCGAGTTCAAAACAAGGATGATTTTACTCCCGAGGAGTACATCAGGTGCCTAAGGATGGAAGATCCAAGAGAAATCAACAATTGCATTTAAAATCAGAGGGTGGCTTCCTATGATTCCGGATTTTGCTTTTCTTATTCTGTAATCACCTCTAGATTTAACAATTGCTCTACAGAAAAAAAAAAATCTAATTTAGGCTAGCTATAAATGTGTTATTAGACATGGTAGGAAGAACCCCCCCCCCCCCTTTTTTGGTTTTTTTTTTCTCTTTGTTTTAAAGGCGGCGGGGGGGGGGGGGGGGGTGCCAGGCCAGGATGCCACGCCTGACACTTGGGTCACATTCAGCAGCTCTCCTCCTGGGGCTTCCCTTTCCAGATGCCCTATGTGGGGAAGGGGCTTCTCCCCTGGAAGCCCTGAGGGTGGGGAGGTCCTCCCAAGGAAGCCAATTTTCCCTCCATTGAGGTAGTCTTTTCAGAAGAGAGACCGCCTCGTCAGCCAGACAGTTTCGTGGTCAGTTGGTCCTTGTAATGGCCAGCATTACCCTGAACTCTCCTTTTATTTTAATCCTTCCCGTGCTACTTATGCTCTGGCTTTTACTGATTTTAAGTCACGTTTGAATCATACACACATCACTTCAATTGTGGGTGGATTAGAATTATACTATGCTCGTTGCCATGAACATGACAAGCAACAGTGACAGAGGGATATGTCTGATGAGCGGAAATGAGTCAATGCTCCCTCAAGATCTTTTATAGGGCATAAAAGGGGATTGATTCATTTTGCCCTACAGAGTTAGGCTGCTGGGCAATTCTTTTTTTCCCAATTTAAAAGGGTATTTTGCAAAAATGAAAGCAAGGAAGAATAGTTCAAAATAAACAATTTATAGATATTCAATATTAGTTGATTATTTGATTATTGCCACACAGAAGTTTAAATGTGTTCAATATTACTTTAGAAATGGAAAACCTGTCGCCCTCCCCAGCACTGTGCAATTGCAGCCCCTAGACACACACACACACACACACACACACACACACACACACACACGGAAAAACAGCTTTGGGAGGTTCGTATTCTGAGCAGGATATGGAAATTTCTTGAGAGGGTGAAACAGTTTGTTCTCTTTCCTTAAGGTAATTTGCCCCCCCACCCCAGGGCACCGTGTATTCAGGGTGCTTCATTCACTTCTCCTGATTACATAATCCATGCCAACCTGTGTAGTGGGCTTATTATTCCCTCTGGTTAATTATGCTGCATGACGTAATTATAGGAACAGTCCAGAAAAGGGCTCAGCCCCTTGTGCATTGTATCCTTACTACTGTACACAGTTACCTTCAGTGCTGAATTAACAACGTTGTATAATAAACTTAAGTGTAACTGTTCAAAAAGAAAATCCCACTGAATTCAGGTAAAATACAATGAGATACATTATCACTCTGCAAAAAAGAAAGAAAGGGGGGGGATCTATATAAAATTCTGGATAAGTTTAAAAAGAAACGCTTACAATGCTTGTTAAGTTTACAGGATATTGCAAAGAACCAATACTGGAAGCAAATTTAATCTTTTTTTTTCTGAAAAACCAAGAAGTTTGTACAGCAACGGACCAGGCCTTCCAATGCAGTAACAAAAATCTCACTTACAATCTCTTTTTATCCACTACGCGCTTGACCCGTATTGCTCTTTGCTCCGAGTACAGCTTGCACACTCCTGTGAAAGAGAGTAGAATAGTTTTTGGGGAGGGAAATAAGGGGGCGGGGGGAGTCTGCTTCTCCCTACCAGCATACATCGGTATGGTGAGGGCTGTTTGGAAACTGAAATAGTATTTGCTGTGTGAGCAAGGAGACAGCAAGGAGCCTGGGCGTGGCTTAGCTCAACTGTTCTGTACTAAAGCTGCTTGCTGCTGTGAAAGTAAAACTAAAACTCCTCTCCTGTGCTTGTGTTTTGCCTTTGGAAGAGATTTCTTTCTTTCAGGTGGGATGCGGGAGTAGAACTCCTTAGCATCAGAGCGTGTTAATAATAATAATATAGGAAATACACTAAATGCTCAGATGGTCATTTCAAAAAATCCTTTCTTAGTGAGCCTCTAGAAGCCAAGAGGAATATACGTGCCCAATTTCAAGTTTGTAGGCTTGGAGTACAATCTCGTGTTCTCAAATTTACTGCCAACTCTATTTTATTACATGCCCTCCTATCTTTTTTTTTTAAAAAATGACTTATACAGAATAGCAGTATTCCTGATTTATAAATCATGGTTGCATTTATTTTTTGTAGCAATTTTTATAACATAATAAACCAACTTCTTCTGTATAAAAATGATTTGATCATTTAAATTATTATTTTCTATTTCTCATTTTAAGCATAACCACAGTAAAATCTCCCAGACCTGATCATTTACATATCTTTATTACAAAAAAAATTAAACTTAAAAGTTTTCCAAATTTATTTGGGATAGTAGAGTGGCTAAACCTTTGGGCCAAAGATAACTTGCATAGGTATTTCTCACCAGCAATGTTTTGAATATTGGGACATTGGTGAAGGTTATCTTGTTCAATAAGAGTAACTGCAGTAATATACAATAGGAAATACATGGAGCATTTTAAAAACTGCATTGTCTTACCCTACTTCTAAAATTAATAAAGTCATTTTAGATTGCATAAAAAAGGTTTGGTGCATAAATGGGCATACAAAATGTTTTCCTTTTTTTTTTTAACAGCAGCAAGAAAATGGGGAGTCCAATATTATGGAAAATGAACAATGTGACTCTGTTATTAGCTATATGTCATTTTTTTTATCTTATTTGGAGAAAAGAGGATTATTTCAGGAATTGAATGATCATGTGCCACCAAGCTATTTTCAACTCCTAGTGACTACACGAGTAGATTTCAAGATTTAGGAGGTAGAAAATTGGTTCTGCACTAGGAAAAAAATGGAGGTATTATTAAAAACGGATGCTAATGAAATGTTTTCTGCTGTTTTAAATATGGTCATGTCTTTTTCATTGGCTCACTACTATCCAGTGGACTTATTAAGAACCCTTTGTCTCTTTCCAAGCAGTTAAAAAGCTTGTATGTTTGTTTGTTTAACTCAGTTTTATATTGTTTAACTCAGTTTTATATCACTGTCCATAGAAACTACGATCCACCAGGCTGAGTTTGGCCACTGCCTTCAGCCTCCAGTTGCCAGCCAGATTCTTCCAGATATTGGCAGATTCCTTTCTCCCTGGAGACCTTGCTTTTCAATTGGCCCTCCTATGGAAAAGAATTTCTGAAAATGATTCTGCTTAAGTGGTCACAACAGCAGAGACTAATTTTGCAAAACACATAAACACAAGGATTGTTATTTCAAGCAAAACTGATACTTTTTAAGTAGTCTGCAATGAAATCCAAAACCGTTTCTCGGTGCTGCTTCACTTGTGGGGAATGGATGTCCTTGTGTGCTGAAATGAAAAGATACAGAATGCTATTTTTCTCAAAAGAGCTCTCCACCCATCTGGCTAAAGCCACCACATGTGTTGCTCCAATTACCTTCTGCTCTGAGCTGCTGAATTGCATCAGCACAGGTTCTCATGAAGATTTGGGCATCTTGGTCAATCTGATCTCGGTCAGTGTCGGACATTCGCACATACTCAGACATGAGGTGGCTGGAAAAGACAGCCAATAGTTCAGCCCTGTTTTCTGAAGAAAAGCTCAGGACAGCATAGTACTTTGCACACTCTTTAGGAAAGGATAATGAATGTTGACTATGAAAATTGATTACCTGCCTCAGAGCTATAATGTAACATCCAACTCAAAGAAGAAACCTTTCCTTATATATGAGAAAAATGAAGATAGAGGGAGAGAAATTAAGAAAGCTTTGTTGCTTTCAAATCCTTTACATATAAAATATGTAATTGATTATCTAAATGATATTAGAAAAACAGAGAATATGGTAAACTGGAAAAAATTATGCTATTATGACCAAAAAGTGTGATGAAAATTAAATAAAATTTTATAGGTTAAACTTGGCTAAATGGAAACAAAAAGGAAACTTAATTCTCTCTTTTTTTCTTTAGTGTATACATATTATATTAGACATGAAATAGAAAATATAATTGATTATATAAAGGATATGAGAAAATAGAGAATATGATAAATCAGAAAGGATTATATTGGAATGTAAAGTATTTGTAATGAGAATATACAACTATGATTAAAAAGGAGGAGAATGAAAATTTAATAAAATTTTATTGGTAAACTTTGGCTAAGTGGAAAGAAAGAAAAAATATGAAATGGTTATATGAAAATCTCTGGAATAAATATAAAATTTATTGTAGACTGGGGATATACCATGTGGATCCTGAATATATTAGTTTTATTTTATTTTTACTCTTTTTTGACTGTTTATTATATATCAGCTTTGAGAAAGTTAATGAAGATAATAATAAATAATATAAAATAAAATAGGTGGTAAGCTGAAAATGGAAATAATAGGGGATAAAGAGTTGAAAATATGAGTGAGGATGAAATGTTTTTGATATTGGATTAATGAATTGAAATATGAAGTGAGAACTTATTTAAAGATCAATGGAATAGATAATGATTTGATATGAAATTAGATAAGTTGGAAATGCAATTACGACTATGTATAAATGTTGTAACCTGGAATCATGTTGCTCACTTGAAGAGATGTGTAAAAAATGAAAAAACTTTATAAAAAAAAGAAGAGAGGGACTGCAGCATAAACTTCCTTATTCTAAATAAATACTCACATTTCTGCTCCTTTCCCATTTTTGTGACCACACTTGCTTACCTGACACAATAAGGGCCTATTAAAATAATTAGAATTAGCAGAATTTGCATCAGCTAGTAGCCTGTTTATTTATGTTCTTATAGGGCCACACTATAAAAATCAAGTAGCAACCAGGGACACCTATTTGTTATATTCCTCACCCAACCACCCCACAACCACTGAAAACTATGCATCCTGGTGCCTTTATTACCATTCCAGAAGCCTCTCACAGAAAGGGTGGCAATGACATATTAAAATGCTCCCAAGCATCAGCTGGGATTCAGCCCTTCAGAACAGCCCTCCAATTTACAGTGTATAAACTTTCTTTTTCCCACTCCAAGGATAATAATTAAGCTTTGTACCATGCCACTAAATTCAGTGTCAGACTGAAAAACTGGTATCTATTTTTTCTCACAACTGTCAATTTTCACTTTTTCAATCATAACACTTACCTATAAGCATTAATGTAATCTTTCCGGTGCTGCAGAAGGAAGTCTTTGAGTTTTCCAATGTTATTAACCTAAAATGAACGAATAGTCAAAATTACATTTAATCATGTATATAACAGGTTTCTCTATGTGCCCAATTATTACTTGCTAGACTTCCAAGCAATGAAGATCCCACAGCCTCTATTGCCTGCACTTAGCAATCCAAGGCCGCTTCTTCCGACTTTGCCCCCAATCAGTTTTGGGGCTAGGGCAAGGCACGACCTGGGAGATGGAGAGAAAAGGAAAGTCCTGCCAGCCCCCGCTCCCCCCCCCCCCCCCCCCCCCCCCCCGTGCAAAGGGGAAGGTCCAGGGGACACTCGCTTTTCAGAGGTTCCCCTTTTGTTGGCCCAAGAAAAGCTGCCTCTGAACTTCAACAGAAGGCTGAAATAACAATAGCCACAGTAGCCCTTAGACCGCCTCACAGTGCTTCACAGCCCTCTTCAAGCGCTTCACGGAGTCAGCCTATTGGCCCTAACCCTCATTTTACCAACCTCGGAAGGATGGAAGGCTGAGTCAACTTTGAGCCTGGAGAGGAAGAAAAGGAAAAGGAGAAAAAGCTCCACTATTGTAATAGAGACGGCCACCTTTTAGCAGCCTGAACAGCACAGAAGATGGTGCCCCACAAGAAGACACTGGGCCTCTCCTCTCCTCAGAGACGCTGCCATTCTGGCAGCTAAAGCTGAGATTCTGTGGACTTCAACTCCTAGAATTCCCCAGCCAGCATGGAATCCTGGGAAGTGTAGTCCACATGTCTTGACAGTGGCTGGTTGAGAAATGTGGCTCTCCAGGCTGCTGTGCTGCTAATTTTTAGCTACCACTAGAGTTGTTAGGCAGCTGCATTCCTTTCCCTTTCTGTCATTTCTTCTACCATTTGCCGGATCCTACTAATTATTCACTTTCAGCATCTCATCTCACCCTCACTTGAGGATTTTATCAGGTCATATTAAAAGAATTAATATTTCATGTTCCAGATTAGTCATCTTTACATGGCCTCAGTTTGTCATGCCTTGTTAGGAAATACCTGAAAACATGTATTAAAATACAAATATAATGTAAAATAATTTTCAAATAAGGATTTTTATTGCTGCTTAAAAAGTAGTCCCGATGTCATCCATATGTGCAAATGCAATTAAAATAGTAAGTTAATCTGATCCCAATTTATTTGCCACAGTAGAAATTATTTCCCCTTCAAATTTTCTCAACCCACATAACCACCCTTTGAGCCCAAAAGGTGAGGATCGCGGAGCCCAGAAAAATGACACTTAGGGTCCAGGTTGAGATCAAGGCCTCATCGGCTCACCTACCGCCGGTCTAGAAATAAGGGTCAGGACTGAGGTGGAGCGGCCTCTCTCCCTTCTTTGGGGTCTGGAATTACAGTAGAGACCAGAGGGGGCTGTTTCCTCCCCTCTCTGGAAAAGCTGCCAAGAAGGAAAGCCATGCGGCTTCTCTTCTCTCTCTGGGGAAGACAAAGTTGCCCCAGAGCCTGCCTGCCTGTGCTTCAGAGGGCATGCCTCTGGCCTGCTGGCACATTGGAGCCCCTCCACCCCACTCAGCAGCAGCAGCAGCAGCAGCAGCAGCCACAGACTTTGGGAAGGAGTCTGGGAGAACATCAGGAGCCCCACCCCACTCGCTCGGGCCTCTGGAAAGGGAGAGCTTTCCCTGCCTCCCTCCCTCCCACCTTTGATCAAAGCCTGCAGAAACTCCCACCAAAATTGCTTCAAGGACAGGAAAGCCCTAGGAAATCCTGCCCAGGTTAGAATAGAATAGAATTCTTTTATTAGCCAAGAGTGATTGGACACAAAAGGAATTTGTCTTTGGTGCAAATGCTCTCTATGTACATAAAGGAAAAGATACATTCGTCGAAAGTCAAGAATCATCAGGTACAACACTTATTCTGTCCTTTGATTCGCTTGCTGAATACAAAGACAGATAGAATAACCCTACAAATTATTCCATACAAAGTTTCTTTTATTGGATTATATTAGGTATCCTCAAGGTAACTCACAGTTATGTCAAGATGCATCTAATGTCCAATTCTTTGCATAGTTGAAATTGTAGTGTAAAATAATAGTGATCTTTCTATCCCATATTTCATCCCATTGTAGTAGATATGGTAGAAGGAGGCTGAGTTCAGGCAAGAGAGTGAAGGGACCTCCCACCATCCCAACAAAGGGTCAGTTCAGTGACCAATCAGGATTACAGAGGTGGCCACATGACATGGACTACATTTCCCAGGATACCTTAACTGCATTTACCATGATGCATTCCCTTAAGGGGACAGCTCCCAATTCCTAACTAACTATATCTGGCTGGACAGCACACTCCCCGCCTGGAATTATAAATTCCACTAACTAAAGAGCCAGGAACCGTATAACTAAGATAAACAGTAAAGAATAATACTAACTGAATAGCAGTTAACTATATAACTAAGATAAACAGTAAACATTAACAAAGCATCAAACAAAGCAAAGCATGCAAAGCTTGAGGTTCAATCTTCAAGTTCAGCCTTTCTTCACAGTCACTAGGTTGGTGACCGGTCTGGTGTAGAAATTCTTGGTGAAAGTCTGCTGGTTGCCTCTGGTGGCCATTTAGGGTGGACAGGCACTCTTGCTTCCAACAGTTCTAAGGGGCTTTGACAAGCGGTTGAACTGGATGTTGCGAAGACATTTGCCCATGTGGAGCGTGTTAGTGAAAGTCTACTGGTCGCCGGCTGCCTTTTAGGGTGGACCGGTATTGTTTTCGATGGTGCCAAAGGGCATCGGAAGGCTGTCGGGATGGATGGTGCGAAGGCATCTGCCTGTGTTTCCACAAGAGTTACATAAAATAGAATTTTCACTGGTTGAACACTGGTTAAATTCAGGAAACTTCCTGTAAATTTATTACTGGCCACAAGGTGGAGCTAGACCAGTTTAAAAAAAAAATTTTTGAATTCTCTGTGAAATTTCTACTTGACCACCAGATGGTGCTGTAGGCTGCTTTGCCTAGATCTGATTTCTCTCTTTAGGGGGGTGAGCCTCCTGGCTATGAAGTTTGCTGATTGCCCAAAGGAATTTATTGCCTACTTCAGATGGTGCTGTAAGCTAATAGTTGAGTGTCAACCAATTTCGCTGGAAGGGAAAAATTCATTAGGAAAAATACTTCAGTAAGTTGCATGCACTGTTGCCGTGTTATGCTTTTAATTTTTTAGAAAGGAGAGGAGATGAAGAAACATTAGGCTTTTAAACAAAAGAAATTGCTCCTTGAATTGTTTTGTTCAGATAGCTTGCTTGAATCAGCCTTGTGACTTGGGAGGAGGAATGTGCTCCATTGCTTTGAAGAGGAACGGTCCTTCACTAATGATTTATGACCCCCAATAAACTGCCCAGAGTGGTTGTAAAATAGCTGGAGAGACCTCCTGTATTGCCTCTTCGAAGCAGCCGAGAGCATAAGAAATGCAAAGCCTTTCCTTTTAGCAATACATGCAAGATTTCTCAAACTTTCCATTGCGTTTGGAAAGGGTTTGTAACTGGAGAGAGACATAGATAGGGAATACCTGGCCCCTTCCTTCAATTCCAAACAGGTTGTAAGGTTACTTTGGCCAATAATGGGAAGACGCAGATTAAGCCAGAGAATAGGACGTTTGAAAGTCTCTTGTGTAAATGGAGAAGGTGAGGATTTCTTGCCCCTCCCTGCCAATTCACACTGGATTTGAAAGCTTGTTGCTTCAAAGGAGAACGAGGCACAGAGAGCTTGGCATTTCACATTCACTCCTGGCTTCAATATTACTTTGCTTTATCACAAAATTCAAATTACTTTTAGTCTTTTTACAAATGGGATTGCAGGAACTCAGATCTACTTATCATTTTACTATTCTGTCCTTTGATTCACTTGCTGAATATAAAGACAGATAGACTAACTCTAAAAAATCTTCCATACCTTTCTTTTATTGGATTATATTAGGTATCCTCAAGGTAACTCACAGTTATGTCGAGATGCATCTAATGTCCAATTCTTTGCATAGTTGAAATCGTAGTGTAAAATGATAGTGATCTTTCTATCCCATATTTCATCCCATCGTAGTAGATATACTAGCAGGAGGCTGAGTTCAGGCAAGAGTGAAGGGACCTCCCACCATCCCAACAAAGGGTCAGTTCAGTGACCAATCAGGATTACAGATGTGGCCACATGACATGGACTACATTTCCCAGGATACCTTAACTGCATTTACCATGATGCATTCCCTTAAGGGGACAGCTCCCAATTCCTAACTAACTATATCTGGCTGGACAGAACAACACTTAATAATAGTCATGGTACAAATAAGCAATCAAATCATACTAGGAAACAGTCAATATAGATTGTAAGGATGCAAGTGACAAAGTTACAGTCACAAGTGGGAGGGGATGGGCGTTGTTCTGGTGTGCAGTGCTCTATAGCGTTGTCTTGAGGGTAGAAGTTGAAATAGTTTATGTTCGGGATGTGAGCAGCTGTAGATATTTTCACAGCCCTCTTTTTGACTTGTGCAGGATACAGGTCCTCCATGGACCTGTTGGTAGCAATTGTTTTTTCTGCAGTCCTAATTACTCTGGAGTCTGTGTCTGTCCTGTTGGGTTGCAGAACCAAACCAGACAGTTATAGAGGTGCAGATGACAAACTCAATCATTCCTCTGTAGAACGGTATCAGCAGCTCCTTGGGCAGTTTGAACTTCCTGAGTTGGCGCAGGAAGAGCATTCTTTGTTGTGCTTTTTTGATATTAGGTGATTTTTTGATATTAGGTGTCCATTTTAACTCTTGTGATATGATAGAACCTAGAAATTTGAAGGTCTCCACTGTTGATACTGTGTTGTCTAGTATTGTAAGAGGTGGTAGTATGGGAGGGTTTCTCCTAAAGTCTACCACCATTTCTACGGTTTTGAGTTCCAGATTGTTCCAGTTACACCACGAGGCAAGTTGTACAACCTCCTGTCTGTATGCGGATTTGCTGTTGTCTCGAATGAGACCAATCACTGCTGTATCATCTGCAAACTTCAGTATTTTAATAGATGGATCGTT